TCCGAGCAGCATTATCCAGTTGTAATCACCACATTTGTAAAAGAATTCCCTTTGGATTTGCCACGGGGCTCACCAAACAATGTCATCGCTTTGCAGATTTCGAAAGGCATTAATCCATATATCTTTCGTAATTTCTTTCGGCCATTTTTGCTCCAGAAATTCTTTTAATGGTGAGTAGTCCATATTAAAGCGTCGGTATGAAACCTTTTCTGTCCTCCAGAAATGGCTACGGATCCAGACATATAACAATTGGGTACACCCTGAGAATCTTCCACCTCCTAGCTTTCTAAAAGCGTTTAATGATCTGAAAGTCTCTGCTAGAATTGCAGATGCAGGATTAATCTTTTTTGGTAGCTGCTCAAACAAATCTACTACTGCAACTTCAATATATCCCAATACTTTTGGGAAGATGACCATACCATACATACCCAGAGCAAAGAGATCGAATCGTACTTTAGTGTCTGGATGACTCTGAATAAGTTCTTTAATGTTGGTCCAAGCAATGCCTTCGCTTTTGCCTTTTTGTTTTGTACGGGATACCACCCATTCCTCTCGTACTCCGGCAATCTTTGCTAATTTAACTCGAAAAGGTTGAGTTTTAATTGACATTGAATAAATTCGATTCTCCAAAGCCCCTTCTATATGTAGCAAAGTCGTGTACTCTTCAATAGTAGGAACCAAGTCCTCCTTATTGAGAGTGATAAAACTACAACTTTTTGTTTGAGTCCCAACTCTCCCAAATGCCTCACAAATCTTGCATATCATTTCTTTTTAGCGAAACTGGAGCATAACTGGCTAAGTCAGATACATAGTCATCCTACAGACTCTCTCCTCCTTGTCTTTGTAAGTCTTCAGCCCACTGTCTTACTTCTGAGTTTAGAACTATTTGATTTGAACACTTTTTATCCATGGATGAAGGTTTTCCAATGAGACAATTAACACAAGGATCAATGCCTTTTATCCTGTATGATGCTATGCAAACAGAAGAAATAAAGAACACACAAAAAGAAATGAATTAGTTTACATAATAAAGAAAAAAAAATTTAATAATAATGTCTACCTAAATATCCTTATTTAAACATGTTTTCTTCATATTTTAAATAATTTAAATTCACATGCAATTTAATCAGTAAGAAAATAAATAAATAAATAAATTAAAAGGAAAGCTATAATTCATTTCTCCTGTGTGTACACCTATTTTGGACAAAATTTTGGCATGGCTTCAAATCGGAAGAGTTTCTAGGGTTTATTATATGCAGGGTTTCAGATCTAAGAATAAAGGTACCCGAATTGTCCTTGTTAGTGCCCCCTTGGGCTGTTAACCCTCAATCATAATCCATCACAGACTAAAGTGGATCGAGTTCAATTCGAGGGGATACACTTCTCTATGCCTGACACGGAGAATAAATTCTCATGAAAACATAGAGCATATGAACCCCAAAAGTTACTTGCTAGGTCTGACACGGAGAATAAATTCTCACGAAGACGTCGCTTTCACTCCCACTTAAAAGGGACCAACTCAATTATAGAGCTTTATGTTATGCAATGCAAGTGTTGTGTGTGAGGAGAAATGTTCAAACCTCTGACAGAAAAATAAATAATGAAATAAAATACTTGCAAGTAAAATGAAATATTAATATAAATATTATAAAAATAATAAGTATATAAAAAATTTGAAAAGAAAGAATTATAAATTAAATATATGAATTTTTAATTTATAATTAATAGAGACAATTTATAATTGCTTTTTAAAAGCCTGACGATCCCCAGCGGAGTCGCCAAGCTGTCGTAACCGGTTTTCGTCCGGGCACGAAATATTTATTTGGAGGGAAAAGTGATGTGAATAAATGGTTTAAAATAATTTGGGAGTCGCCATCGGCCTTTTGGGTCAGGTAGGTCGAATACCTAAAAAATTATCTTTTAAAAGAGTTTTTTAAGAAAACATCAGTTAAAAGATAAACTGATATGCGTTTTAACAAAAAATTTATTCTTTTTAGAAATAAAAAGGGATTCGTGGTCGGTTACTTTTAGGGAATGATTAGCACCCCTACAACGTCCAAAATTGGTACCTTTTAATTATAAAAATTGTCTCTATTATTAGAAATTTAAAAATTCAAAATATATTTAATTTATAATTAATTATTTCAAAATTATAATTATAAAAAAATATTAATTTATATATTTATAAATAAAATATTTATTTAGAAATATCAGAAAAGGACTTCTAGGTACCTTAAGACAGCTCTTTTCTTCGATACTAAAAAATAAATAATTAAAACAATTAATATGTAATTTATAAAATTTATTTATTTAAAAATATCAGAAAATGAACATCCAGTTGTTTTAAGACTGTCCTTTCTTAATATTGAAAAATAAATAAATATTAAAACAAGATTAAAATAAGTTAATAGTAATAAGATTTTAATAAATAAAATAAATATTATAATATATATATATTTATGGCTAAATAATAATAATAATAGTAATAATAATTAAAAGTAAACATATAAAATTAACATATAATGAACAAAATTAAAACTATATATTTAAAATAAATAAAAATTGAAATTAGTGACTAAATTGTAATTTAATAGAATTAAATACCTAATTCATAATTAATTATTTAAAATTTGAGTGACTAAACATGCTATTCTTCTTATTTATTAATTTAGTGACTAAACTAAAATTATATAAAATTCATATATCAAATTAAAATAAATTGAAATATGTTGTTCGGGGTTTAAAATATTAATTATTAAAATTAAAGGACTAAATATGTTATTTATCCTAAATATATTATTTAATATAAAGGACTAAAATAAATAAAATTAAAATTAAAGAACCGAATTAAAAGGATTATAAATTGATTTAGTGACTAAAATGTAAGGATTACAAATTAGGATGGATGCGGAAAGGGTTTAACTTTTAATTAATTACAGACAGACCCCTCCCCAAAACGGCGTCGTTCAGGGAGGGGTATTTAAGCCCCAAAACTGGCCCGAAGGGCTAGCTCTCATTTCTTCTTTCCTTCTTTCTCTCTAAAAGCCGAGAGAGAAAAATTCTCTCTGGCTTCTCTCTAGCTTCCCTCAACGGAGGGAAGCCGGTCATCGGCAGGCAGCCGTATACCGCCGCCATCCCCGCCGCCGGCCATTGTCTCTGGTGGCCGGAAAGTTTCGTTTTACATGAAAATAAAGGCCTTCTCTTCCTAAGGCCAAATCTGGCTTTAGTTTACCCTAAAAAACTCCTAATCGGAGTAAATCTAAGAAAATACCTTCGGTATTTTCTGTTCTCCGGCGATGTTTGGCTTCCGGCGATGATCGAGGCTTCAAGGGTAAGTTTCCTTTCTTCTCTCTTTTTTTAGTTTCTTTTGTTGCTTCCTCCCTGTCTCTTCCTTTGTAGGTGGGTCGAGGCTTTTATAGCCTCGACGAGATGCGCCTCGGACCGGTCACAAGAGTGAAGGCCAGTGAGTCACCAAACCTATGGTGGTGACTCACAAAAAACAAGCGACGTGTGCGGCTGTAATGGATCTTCTGGAAACTTTAACGGGGCATCGTGGCAGCGGCGGAGCGAAGTGGAGCAGCTGGAAGTAGAAACGGCGCCGCGTGGTCCCTAGGGTATCATCACCCTAGGGTTTGTGCTGGATGCGTGTGGGCCGTTGGATCTCTCAGATCCAACGGCTGTGATGCTGAGGCGGCTGGATGATGATATGGAAACCCTAAATTGGTTTTAGGGTTTCCTGATGGGTTTGGGCCGTGTCTCTTGTAATTGGGCTCGTTTGGGTTGGGTCGGACTTGGCCTGTTTGTAATAATAATAATTTAATAATAATAAATAAAATAATAATAATAATATATAATAATAATAATAATAATAAATAATAATAATAGAAAATGGAGAAAAAAATAGTATCTTCAACCTCAATGAATAACAATAATTTATGTACTACTAAGGACATTTGGTTAATAAATCAAATATTTTTTATCACTCTAATGACATGCGATTTAATCGATACAATTTGAATAGTTAAATTATTAATAAAATTAATAGATTAACAGTTAAGTTAAAAACATCTATTATTAACTTAACTGGTTGTCCAAATAATTTACCAAAAAGGAAAAGAATACTTATAAACATTTTATTTTTGATAATTCACCGTCAAACTGAATACTGGGGGAATATAAAACATCTCAACTTTCATCATTGTCTTGCTCGTATCATTGATAGGAAATATGTATTGTAAATGAAAACCAAGAAAGTATAACTTTTGTTAAAGGTAAGATGGATAATATGTATATGATAGGAATGAAAGCTTTGAAATGATGATTCATTTTGTTTTTTTTTTAATCATTTGTAGTTAAAGTTAGTGACGATGAACTTGTAAATGAATCACGATGAAGTGTTACGGGTCAATTTACAGGTCATTTGTAGTATATGTATGTGTTGATTTGACTACACATCAAGCTTCTTCGCCATGATCGAACACTAGAACAAGTTGAACCAAATAAAAATAGGTTGCAAAGAATCCAGCAGATTCACACAATACAGCCCCCAAGAAACAATTCAACACACTACAGTCCGACTTAAAATTGAGGCAACTTTTCTATGGATGCAACCATCTCATTTATCATCAAGCCCCAGTAATCAGACATTAATTCAGGAATAAACAAAAACACCATCTAAACCTCCAAAAAGGAAACAACAAATAGAGAGCCGACTAACGCATAGAAACGGGCAAGACCAGCAACACTAAACCCACCACAACTCCCAAACGCCTTGAAAATGAGACAAAAGACACATCACCATCAACAACTCAAAATCATTACTATATTATTGAGTCAATGGTGAATTGGTACAACAGAAGCAAGACTCTCTACATAGATCATAGCAGAAAAGCTTTCCGGAGCACCTGGAATACATAGAATCCGCCCTGTTTGCTTCCCCAAATTGAACCATGCTTGCCGATGACCATCGCCTAACAATATTTGATCACCCTTCCTAGAGTATCCTATGACTCTGGTATAATATATGTTCGTCGGATTCCATTCTTCACGGGAAAGATAAATGAGTTTAGTCCATGATTCTTTAACTCCATATTCCTTCATCACCCACAAGATGATATGATCTTCATCCTAACAATTCGTATACTCCCGGAACACGCACAACCTTTCTCCCAACACCCCTACATTTTTGTACCCAAAGTTCCTGAACCCAACATCGGGTTCAGGAACTTAACGGAACTCCTCGACCCCAAGATCAAGACCGAAGACCAATCTTCCCCCGAAATATCTGTCTTTTTCATCACCTACCCAATGCAGGGAACCATTGAGATATGCACCGTCTTGTCTCTTCCCATAAGGAACTTGATAAGGGCAATCCTTGATTCTCTTCCATGTATCAGTTTTCAAGCTGTAAATCATAACTGGCTTTCCGGATGCTTTCATCTGCACCACCTTGTAGTCATCGCCTATCACATCGTACTCGAATCCGAGAATATCATGATCTCTCTCCACCACATCTTCGATCGTTAATCTTGGTAGGTAATGGCATGTTCTGGTCGATGGATTCCACAAAGCAACTCCTCCTCCTTCATGGTATACAGCAAGTAAACCATTGCAGGAACCAAATATCCTAGATGTAAACTCGCCTCCTCCCGTTTTCAACGGGCGAGGGAGCTGCTCCAAGTTGGCTAGCGAGTCGAAGTCCACTGAATAGGCCTTATCATCATCATCAGCTGTATCACTATCGAGAATAAGCTTGACATCGTTGTTGATTTTGAAGGTGCTATGGAGATGGAGTTTGGCAAAATTAGAATCTTTTATGAGAGAATCCCATGACTTTGACACAAATCTGAAGCGAATAAGTGCCTTCACCGGAAGCATACCAAGTATGTCAGTGATTACATCGGTCGGGAAAACAGCCATTTATGTTTCAGGCAACGGAGTATTGTATAGTGATAAACACTAAACGAGAAAAGGTTGAGGAAGAAAGGTCATTGTTTAAACTGAGTTGGTCATCGGCTTATGTAAAAGTGAGTACTTTAATTGATGAAAGGTCATTGTTTAATCGAGTTGGTCATCGGCTTGTGCAAAAGTGAATATTTTAATTGATACTCTGTTTTATATTTATGTAAAAAAAATTACTCAATAAAGACGAGAGTAGATAGTTTCAATGGCTTCCACGTGAAAAGCGCATTAAGCTCACAATCTCTTCTAAACTTATTTAAAATATATAACTTTCTTCTTTTTCTTGTGTAGTATTAGGGATGGGCATGGGTCGGGTTTTTAGTCTATCTGACCCGAGAATAATGAATCATCCACCCGATATCCGACTCGACCCGCATGAAACAAGATTTCACCCGATCCGAATCTGACCCGATATATAACTTAAAAAACCGATCTGACCTGACCCGAAAGAATAAAAAAATATTTTTTTATTCAATAAAAACAGTACTTTATTTGAAACAAATAATATATAGAGGGGTATTATTGTAATTATACCAAATATATAAGGTAAAATTATTTTTGTTTCGGTTCGGGTCGGGTTAGGTATTTTTCACCCTAAACCCGAATCCGATCCGAACTTCTTTTTTTACAAAAACCCGACCTGATCGGGCCGGGCCGGGTCGGAACCTGTTAGGTTCGAGTCCCATGCCTATCCCTATGTAGTATCATAAAGCAGACGATATTATTAAATAGGGATCATTATGGGTCAAATTTTGGTCCATTCTATCTAATCCAAAAATTATACATCTTTTACTGGATTCGAACCCGTTCTGAAAGATATATATCTCCTACTCGATCCGAACTTGATCTTTCTTTTTGAGATAAAATTCGAATCTGACCCAAAATAATATATTTATTAAAAAATATTATTTTTATTCAATAAAAATAAAAATTTAATTGAAATTAGTAATAAATAGAGTGGTATTATTACAATTATCCCTAAATATATAACGTAAAATTACAAATTTTTAGGTCGGGTTAGATCAATTTTTTTCACCCTAGACTTGAATTCGAACCGACCCGACCCGAACATAACCTCTAAAAAAACTCGATCAGCCCAACCATTTTTTTTAAAAAAAATCTAACTCGATCGAGTCAGGTCGAAACCCATCAAATTCAAATCCAATGTCCGTTCTTACTATTAAATGGATAAAGATATATTTTTCATATAATATTGATATTCATTTTCTGATATCAATATTCATTGATAATTTAAAATATCAAACTATATTTTAATATTAATATCAAGATAGACAAAATCAATACTCAATTAAGATACTAATATTGAAATAACATACTGAATTTTTTATTTAACCTATAATATCAATACTCTATTTCTAGTATTGATATCATATGTATCAAATAATCATTTTTACCCGCTTAATATATTTAAATTTTATTTAAACTTGCCTTAAACTAAATATAACTTATGCCATGCTTAATATTATCTAAATTGCAATTCACAATATTAAATTACTCTAATATTTTCCTATTTAACACATAATAGTGTCGACTTTTAGATAAAAGATTATTTTATTAGTATTTTATTTTTTATTATTATTGACTGTTACAAAATATTAAAAAATATAATTATTAAAATAACATTTTATAATCATTTTAGGGAAATGATCCATTTATCTCTCCGTCATCTTTATAAGTAGAAAAACAAACCATTTAATCATTTATACTCTTCTTTTCCTTTTACCAGTTGAGGTACCGGAAACTATTTTCTGAGTAAAATAATCTCCTTTCCTGGCAAAATCAACGAGATAATGCGTTGAATTTTTTTTTCACAAGATAGTGCCCTCGCCAGATTAATAACTCAGGCGGTGCCCTCTATAGTCCCGGGGGTAGGTCGCCATGCACGCCCAGCGACCTACCAGGTCGCCATGCACGCCCAGCGACCTCCATGCACGCCCAGCTCGCCAAAGGTCACCATGCAGTCCATGCTTGGACTGAACAATGTTGGTGGTTTAGACATGGCCCTTTCCTTCTACCCTGAGTGTGCAAATGATCCCATGTCTCATTACAAATTCGTCCTCGCAATTGAAGCATTTGCCAAGCATGGATTGCATGGAGTCTCTACATGGCTGTGCATGGCGGCATGGCAACGTGGCATGGGTCTCGCATGGGTCTGGGCGAGGTTGGAGTCTCTGCAGGGCAACGTGGCATGGGTTTGGGCGAGGTTGGAGTCTCTGCATGGCTGTGCATGCATGCAACGTGGGTAGGTCGCCAAGGAATCCCAGCGACATTGTAGGTCGCCAGGGCATCCCAGCGACATTGTAGGTCGCCAAGGGATCCCAACGACCTATGCCTTTGCCCCACTTTGCTGCCTCTGCGTCTCTGCTCCCATGCAGCGTGAAATCAGCTGCATTATTACAGCAACATGGGCGTGAAATCAACTGCATTATTGCAGCACCTATTGCTGCATTATTGCAGCCCGTGAACGTGAATCGGACACCTATAATTGAAGCAATGCCCGGTTGTTGTATTATATATTGGATGGATGGCAATTAAGAGAGAAAGAAAGGGAGAAAATAGCAAAGAAGAAAATAGCAGAGAAAAGATGAGGAAGAAGGAAAGGGAGAGCACAACATCTAGGTAAGTTTTTTTTAATTATTTTAATTAGTTTATTATTTTAAATTATTAGTTTGTTAATTTATGGTTTAAGTTAAAACAAAATTTTAGTTAATTATTTAATTTGTTTGTTTGATGGTTATATATTAAAAAATAATTAATTAGTGTGTTAGTTAGTCTAATATTTAATTAGTTTGTAGTTAGTTAAATAGTTAAGTTATATTTTGGTTGTTGAATTTATATTATATAAAAAAAATTAGTTTATTAGTAGTTTAAGTTTTATTATAATAAAAAATATTTTATTAGTTTAAGTTATATAAAGAATAATTATTTAAAGTAGTTATTTGTTTAATGAATTATAATTAATAAATATTTGAATATTATTTTATATTGTGATAAATTTTTTGAAATATTTAATTGCAGGAGGACGAGCAGCGAGTCATTCGTCATCGGCTACATAAAGTGCCCAAGCCACACAGATTGATAGAAGAAAACTTGCAGGAGACTGGATTTTGGTATGTAACATTTGTGCGAGATTACAAGTTGGTCCAGGTTTGATCAGTGCCTTGATTGAGCGTTGGAGACCAGAAACGCACACGTTTCATTTGCCGTGTGGCGAATGTACGATAACTCTGGAGGATGTGGCATTGCAACTCGGGGTCCAAACAAATGGGATGCCAGTGGTAATGTCACATGAGTTTAATAATGTGGCACAACTTTGTAGCTTGTTTCTTGGGAAAACGCCCGTACCACCAGAGTATAAAGGGTGGCGTGTGAGGTTGTCATGGTTGAAGAATGAATTTCAGCTTCAACCAAATAGTACGGAGCACGAAATTATATATGCAACACGAGCATATATATTACAGTTGATTGGGGGTATTTTAATGCCGGATAAATCCGGTAGTTATGTTCACACTCAATATCTTCTTTTTTTAAGAAATTTTGAGAATAGTAGGCAATATAGCTGGGGATCGGCGATATTGGCGTTCTTGTATCGTGAGATATGCAAGGCGTCATTAGTCGTTAATGATAATAATACAGCAGAAATCAGTGGATGTCTGTTGCTGCTACAGTCATGGGCTTGGCATAGACTTCCGTTTTTGAGACCGATTAGTCGGACTGTGGTTGACTTTCCGCTTGCCGGAAGGTAATATGAATTCTCTATTTTAATATAAAATATTAATTATAAAATAAAAATGACCATATTTTTATTTTGATTGATATACAGATAGAGGCATAAAATTGAAGGCACGGGGTTGGTGCACAACAACATTAAAGAGTTCAGGCTGAAGATCGACATTAAGGAAAAAAAGGAGGTATGTATAATCTGTTATTTTTAATTATTATTTAAATTAACTATATTATTTGATTTAAATAAATTTTATTGTTTTTGTAATTTTACAGTTTAATTGGAGACCATACATGAATGAAGAAATACTTGCATTGATACCACACGATATTTTAGATGGGTTTCAATATTGGTGTGCTGTTACACCATTGATCAATTTTGCGTTTGTTGAGATCCAATTTGGGGATAGAGTATTGAGGCAATTTCACTTCCACCAACCTATTCCGCGGAGTCCATGGGATCATGACCTCCTCCATATCTTAGATGGTCGTCGTCAGGTGAATTGGGTTGAGACGCATGACCAGCTGCACAGATTTGATGGTCGTCGTAAAGAAAATGTTAATTGGGTTGAGAATCATGCAATCTACATTAATGCTTGGAACAATAGGGCTTCATTCATGCCAACTCTTGACGACATTCAAGACGACGACTTTAATTTTGAGACTTCGGCTTACCTTGCTTATTTTTTGGATAATGGAAAGCCATTCTTGACAATAATTGTAGAGAGGCGACAATTTTTGAGGTTTAAGAAAAGATTTGGTAAAGCTGAATACTCTCTACCAAGTGGGAGTGGGAGTTCATCTCAACAACCTGAAGCTGAAATGACCGATGTGGATAATAGCGCACCACAACCGTTCGGCGATGCATACATACCAGAGTTTGTGCAGCCTGATGCATCCATCTACTCTCCCATGTTTTCGTCGACGTATGACTTTGAACACATGTCAGTTCAAATGCCCCCAACGAATGAGGAGGATGGGTACCATACTCCTGAGCAACCGCAACAGCCACAACGCATCAGACGTCCGCCCCAACATTATCATTCAACAACACCCCGACATCGGCAACAATTGTAAACTAGTTTGTTATTTGTTACAAATTTAATATTGACATTAGACTAGTTTTTTAAAACATTAACAAATTCGACATATTTATAATGATTTTTAGTATCAAATCATTATTATAATTTCATTACTAGTTATGTAACGAAAATATAGTTAATTGAACCAA